CACCATCGTCACCATCACCATCGACCTCCACCTCAAAATCCTCCGCTCAAACACGATTCATCTCAACTTCATCACCCTCCACCTCAACAGTTAAACCGGGTGCCGCCATCCTCGACACCTCCTCGGTACTAACAGGGCTGAAACTAATATATAAAACCGAGGGGGTGGCCGGCTGGTTCAGAGGCGTCGGCCCTCGCTTCCTCTGGACCAGCATCCAGAGCGGTACCATGCTGGTGCTCTACCAGTACTTCCTCAAGCAGCTCGAGTCATACCAGCAGCTCCGCGAGCTCCGAAGTACCTCGATATGAATTGAACTACCACCTACCAACCACACACAACCGCAGTATAATATTCCAACTGCATACACAATGTCCACTCGATGTTCCCACGGGCGAGAAATGGGCTCTGGCGCTGGCGTTAAGGGGGAGGGGGGAAAATGGACGGCCATTTAGAAGGAAAATACATAGATCTAAGGCCTGGGTTTTGTTATTTTTTTTGCATCTGGCCTATATATTTTTTTTGAAAGAAGACCTGCTTGTACGATACACCTAATCCACGTCTCATGAAGAGTCAATCAACCCTTTGTCCTCCCTGCGCGCCCATCTTTGTCGCGCCCGTCTTTCTTTATGCCGGGGGCGGCTGTTGTCGTCCCAATCGGGAACTAGTGACGCGCTAAACGCAAAAAGCCGACCGCAAAAATGTAAACAACAAAAAAGAAACCCCGTCGTGTTATTATTATTATTTTATTCAACCACCAACCACCCGCCACCCCGTCCGCCCTGCTTTCGCCAGATACACGCGCGCGCACACACATATATATAGCTCTCGCAGCGCCAGAACCACTCTAGACCGAGTCGCATATCCCTCGCGATCCAGTCGGTACCAACATCTCTGCACCATGTCGGCTGCTTTACCCTACCTGCGCGCGCTCCGCAAGAGCGACCTCGTTTCTCTGGCCGAGCTGTCGGACATGAAGGAGTGCGTATCCCTTGACCGTCGGCGTATGAGGGGAGCTGGCGTTTACCCTGTGAGGCCGTTCTGATGCTGACTTGGCTGTAGTTTCGCGGACATGAAGAAGACCGAGCTCGAAGCTGCGCTGGACACCCATCTGTCGCAGAACAAGAACCGTCTCGCCAGCGAGTCTAAACTGAGCGATTACTACGAGAGACTGGCCCGGCCGCCGCGTGGATCGCCGATAAAGAAGGAGCCAAAGGTCGAGGTGACTTCGTTCGACGGCTCCAGCTCGGTCAAGCGCTCGACGCGTAGACGGTCCGTCAAGCCAAAGGAAGAAGTCGAAGCAACGTGCGTGTTTTACCCTACCCTGGAAACGGCGTCGAACACCTAGCTCGGTAGATTAGATACTAACAGACTGTAGGGACGAGTCGGATGAATCTTCGTCCAAGTCTTCTCCTGCACCCGAGCCGGCTCCGGTTGCCACTCAGACCCCCTCGCGTCCAGCCATCAAGTTCCCTTCCCTACCACCCTCTCCGGCAGTGGTAACGGACGCGATTGACAGACAGACCACCAGAGTCCGCAAGTCTGTATCCGAAGCATGGGACCAGTCTGGCATGACCGAGCGGACGCACAGTCTGCGTTCGTTGCTCAGCAGCACCTCAACCATCCAGATCTTGATCCTTATTCTTGAGCTGTCCAGCGTAATAAATGCCATCATGCCCTGGAGGAAGTTCACTTTCCCTGCCATCGAGGTCCTGAATACCTCTGCCTGCACCCACAATATACCAGACCTGTTCAACACTTTCCAGCCGGCCTTCTGGTCTCCCCTGTTGCTCTGGACTACCACCAGTGTTGTCCTGCCGTCTATCATCGCGTATTTCTTCGACATCAACCTTAAGATGAGCCAGTCTACCTCTTCCACCACACGTCGATCCGCAGCTGCGGCTGCGGCTCAGGACAAGGGAAAGGTCTGCGGAGATCCCTTGGTGTTCAACGTGGCAAAAGCCTTGATTGCCTCCATCGTGTACGGGAGCGGGTTCAACTTCTGGAACATGTTCAGCCAGACTTCTGTTTTGAAAGTTGTCAGTGCTGTTCCATGGGGATTGCAGGGCCTACTCACCGGCTCTGCCATCTGTACTCTAGGAAGTCTGTACGAAGCCATCTTGAGAAAGTAGGAAACAGACTGTTTTCCCCCACTTCTCCTGGCTCGAAGTTGAATGCATCCCCGGAATCGATTGGGTTTCTGGTCAAATCAGGGCTGCTAGCTCGCCCTTGACAGTCGCTAGATACGTCGGTGCATCTATACACTTCTTCGAATCGTCTTCCATCCCCCCCTCTTCCCATCTTCCCCGTTCCCCTTGATTCACGGCGTCTTCACATGCTCTGCTGGTTCTGGTTGCTTTGCGTTATCGCTTTTTTCTTGTCTTCGTTGGAAACGGGTTAAATCGGTTCTCTGCTTTTCTCTCCTGATGTCTGTCTCCCTTGCCCCGCCCTATCTATTTGATGCTGGTCCTTGCCGAATAGACGGGGAAACCGGCTTGAGTATTATATATATAATCCCGCATCCGCCTCCCCTTTGGTGTACCTTCTCCCCTCTTCCCTACCGTACCTTACTGCCCTCTTCTATTTCTCTATGTCCTCCCCTGTCTTACCTTACCCTATAGGTCGGTTTAAGTATTGACTGCGTTTTGATTATTGGTTTGGCTCGGTGATTAGCCCCCTTTCATCTCTAGGACTCTGACTCAATGCTACTTACTCATGTCTTGTCCTGTCCTCTGAATATAGCTTGCGGGGAAGATATTGATTTTGACGGCCACGATAACTTCCTATGATATTTGTTCCTCGACGAAACGGTTATGATGCAAAACAGTTAAGTACCCCTTTTCAAAGTAAGTAGTGTTTATTATAATACATGAAAAAATCTATTCGTTTCCGCTCTTTTATATATCTAGTTGTACAGTACGCGCTGTTTTACACCGTCGACCGAGTCTCCATCTAGATAGATACGCACAGCACTCCCTCCAGTTACGCTCTTCACCAAAACGGCATATAGCGAAGGTATGTATCTGGGGCCAAAAATAAAGATTTGATAGTTGGCAACGGCCTCGGATCGTTATTCCTGTTTACTCCTTAGAGGCCTTCGATTGGATGGCTTCTAGTTCCTTTGAGACGGCCTCCTGCAGCTTATCCTTGCTGGATGTGGACTCTGACTGGGAGGGTTCCGGGACAACAGCAGGTGCAACCTCAGACGATTCCGAAGACGCCTTCTGCTCAGCCTGTTTCTCCGAAACAATGTGTTCGTCTAATTGCGCATCAACTTCTTCGTCGTCGAGTTCGTTTCCGTAGATGTCGGGATGTTGTCTAAAGCAATCTTGCATGGCCCTAGATAGCACCAATTAGCACTTATCCTACTATGTGAGTCGCGACAGTGAATACGTACTTGAATTTGTCAATGCAGTCCATTCCCTTGGGTTCCTCCTGGGAGTACACAAAGCATGAGAATGCGGCCCGGAAGTCCTCTCCACAAGGCCCATGGGCCATGCCACCTAAGCAAGGGCAGTCCCAGTTGATCTCACCGGTTTCTGGGTTGAACGCCGCCTCTTGGCCTTCCTCGCCCTCCTGCTCAGTACCACCCGCGGCGGGAACAGGCGGTTGCTCACCCCCAGAAATAGGAGCGCCAGTCTCGGCAGCGGCACCTATCGAAGGCTCCTCAGGCGATGTCGTCTTAACTTCCGAAGTGACAGGAGCCGGCCGTGCTTTAGGCTTGGTCTTTTTCGCCGCCTCTAGAGACTCAATTGTTTGCGAAACAGCTGTATCTTGCGTCTTATATTGGGATCCGGGAGCAATCTCGACTACCATTGCCATCAATGTCAGCCAATCCACTGATTGATATTTTATCTAACGCCTGCCAGGCATGGACTTACGGGGAGGTTCTTCGGCAAATATGGGGCTTGTGTTGTAGTAGTAAACAGCACCGGCAGCAAGACCCCATCTCACAACCGTACTTCTCCATCCCTGCTTCTTCTGTACTGGCGACGATGCATCGCTAATCCATCTTCGGCTTTGCGCAAATCGTAGTTGTTGTGTAGCTGGTGTACCACGGAGCAGTGTCCGAGACGCGGATCGGAACATGATGAAGAGAGGAGAGGGAAACGGAAGGAAATTGATCTAACAGGTCGGAGAATAAGAAATCAAATATAAAATAAACTCATTGAATTGAGAGCGAGTTGGGGACTCGGCTTAGAGTGCTTTTGACACCGTCGTCTTCGTCTCGTCGTCTTCAAGATTGTTAATCAAGAGCGAGCGAAAATTGGTGATTATGTAAGATTATCGGATAAACATATGCCGAAGATCCCGGTCCCCTTTAGGCAATATCAAACCGCCCGCGCCTCAGAGGCATCCATTAGATATTGAAGAGATGTTACAAAGACAAACACACTTGAGATACCCGATTTTTGATATTCATTTGGCCGCGAGGTTGAGGGATTGGTTTAAATAAGATGGAATGGCATCCTGCTCGGTTTTTTGAGGACTTGCTTCCGCCGGCCCCATTTGCCCTGCTAATTCTAAACCAACCTGTCAATCATAACGCCTTGAGACTACTAAAAAGTCATGGTACGGTGAGATGCTGGTACCTCCCAGCTCACCTAATATCTCCGGGCGTAGTGCAGAGATTCCCCTAGGTGAAAGCTAATTGGATTTGATAGCATGTTTTATCATCTGCGCGGATGGTGGGGCGAACCGGTATTATCATGTCATGAGAAGGCTTGGTTTGGAGAAAACTGAGGTATGGATTGCTCAAGTTATCAAAATACATGTTATCTCCATATGATATGTGTATTTTTCTCTTTGGCGGGTATCGTATGTGCCATATCTAACTGCTCGAACAGCTTCCCAATGCTATCGTTGGAGATCTTGATTCTATTCACCCGGATGTTCGAAAACACTACCAGAGCATGAAAGTACCTATTATTGAGAACCCAGACCAATATTCAACGGATTTTATGAAATGTCTTAGCTATCTTGCAGATAACTGCAGTGATATTGTCAATGCCACCGGCCAGCATAGCGATAATGATTTTGGCAGCTACTCTAATAATTCATCCAAAGCCTTAGATGTTGTCGTATTTGGCGGATTAGGTGGGCGTGTTGACCAAGGATTTGCCCAAATCCACCACCTATTCTGTACTACTACATCTGCTTCGGAACAGATCAGACGGCCAAATGGTGAATTATATCTCATCTCCGAGGAGAGCATTTCCTTTTTTCTACGCCCGGGGAACAACGTAATACGGACCTTTGGCGGCTCGTATTTTGGGAAAGTGAAAGAAGCCAGCTCTGGGTTAAGTGGTCGTCAAACAACTAATGCAGACCAGCAAGCCTACTTCTCGGAAAATATAGGAATTATCCCCATCGGAGGTCCGTCGATAATATCCACACAGGGCCTCGAATGGGATGTGAGTGGTTGGAAAACAGAATTCGGTGGTAATCTAAGTACGAGCAACCATATCAGAGCGGACTTGGTCAAGGTCGAAACCTCAGCCCCGGTACTCTTTACCGTGGAGCTAGCACCGAGCTTGAAACTAGATGTATTGAGCTTCCCTAGATGAAATTATGCTCTCAAGGATTCTAAACGCTTCTATTGCGGGTCGAGGGTTTAGTCGACCCGGCAATCTCTGTACCTTCTGCTCTTGATACATACGCAGTGTTGAGCCCCCTGCGCCATTGATGTACCAGGGCATCTTTCTAGGTAATTTGCCTTTGATGCTCAGACCCCTTCATTCGAGGATTCCCGTCCAATCTCGATTGCTTTTACCATGTTGGATGAGGCTCTATATCCCTACGGATAGTTCAAAATAGACGTTTTGTTGACATACCCTTTCAAACCGCGGAAAGAACCTTACAACCTCCAACGGTCCTTCTTGCTTTAGACTCCAACCTACGGACGAGAATCCGCAGGTGAAGGCTGACCCAGCGCATGATGTCAACGATATCGCATCATCTATTGGTGCTTGGTTTCTATAGCTATAACCACCCTCACTTATGTCATTGGATTCCTCGAAATCGGAGAGCCAAAATGGATTCAGTACCCTTCACAAGATCCCTGCTATATCTTCCTTATGAGTTATACTTAGAGATAGGATCGTTTGTATGTTTCTATTGCGCTCTTTATCCTTGATTGATAGACTAACCATAAAACAGATCCATTTTCGCTCTGACCTAGTCTCTCTCTGTCTAACTTGCCGGTCTTTAAATTCAATGACAGTGCCCATCCTTTACAGAAATATTAACCTTTATATTCCACCTGAAGACGAACCCGGGAAATATTTGGATACTAAGGAGCCCCCATGGTTAAACTGCTTTCGAAGTATAGCTCGTAATAAATCGGGACAGGCTGAATGGGTCAGGACGATTGCGGTAAGGGGCGCTCGCCGAAATTCCTACGAGACCTTCCCGAGAGTTGGCGCAAAAGAATCAACCGTACCGGATGTGGCTCGATTGAACTCGGAACGCATTCAATTACACAAATTATTGTCGACCCTATTCACTAAGATGAAGAAATTGCAGAGTTTCTGGTGAGATTTACACCTGGCAGGGTATGACCCTATTCCATTCTCCACCACGCTAATAGAAGGGTTTATTCTTATCTCCCAAAGTTGGACGGCCGATTGCCTATACCCAACCAAAGAGGTCTTCAAGCTCCAGGAGAATGTCAAAGTTTTCATTTATCTCTATCCCAGGGCTCTTCAAAATGCCCGAAAAGATAAGGTCTTATCAGATGCGTACCCTGAGATACGTCACGCGTCCTTTAAGTGTTTGAAAGAGCTATCAATTTTTGACATCCCCTATCTTCGAACCCTAAACCACATATCGAAAATCCTAGTGGAAGTACGAGGGACGATTAGAGTCCTCAGGCTTGGGCTGATCAAAGAGGGTGATCGTTTTAGGGCTCTGCCCCAGATGTATAAGACCTCTTCCGCCTATTCTCAAGACCTCCTTCTTACAGTAACAAAGGGTCTCTCAAAATTCTCAAAAACTGATGGCTTTGTTCGCCTACATACCCTGGAAATCCTATTTTGCAATCACCTAGTTATCCAGGCATGGGCTCAAATCTTTGATTTCACTGCTATCAAGAGCTTTTCCCTCATCCATTCATTTCACTTCGGTGTACATTATCCTTCTCCTTGGACTTACTTGCAGTCGAGGCGTGTTACCCTGAAAAGGCTTAAAACCAATATCTACGTGACAGGGGCTGTTGGTTATCTCCAGTCCTTTAACTCTCTTGAGGAGCTTTATCTCATAGGTAGCCCGGAATACCTGGATTTTGGAGCTCTCCGCTTCCACTTTTCGAATCTTAGAGCATTTTTGTGTCTGGAATATGTAACTCACCTTCGGTTCTTCGTCAGAAACATTCACTTACTGATTGCAGGATGCCCCAAGTTAGAGGAGCTGGGAATTCCCTTGCCCAGAAAAATCCAGGTACATTTGTCACTGTCCAATTATTCCTTTAAGTCTTTATCATGTGCATGCTTACGTTTAGTTTACTACATTTAGAGTACAGTATGGAGCGTACTGGCTCATGCCCCTGCTTTAAGGTGCCTCTACTTTATAAAATATAACACTGGACGGATAGGTTCTCTCCAAGCCCTGGACCCGTTCATTTTCGAGTTTTTTGGTTACTTCGAATTACACCCTTCTCCTCTCATTTACCGACTGGAGATGCTTAGCTGCCACAAGACTCTCTGGCGCTTAAGTTCGCTAGCTTCTGCACCCGTTCAAAGGAGAACACACGAGGAGATATGGAATGACATAGATCGCTGGTGTGGATACGAGCCATTTAATACCAGAGAAAGAGCGAATACCAGACCGGAACCCCTACGTTTCGGCAATTTCGGGCCAGGTTTGGATCGAGTGGCTATTCGAGTACGCTGGGAAGATTACTTGGAAGACGAAATGATTTCAACCATCAGAAATTATCTTCTGCCAGAATAGGTAGATTGGCTCATGCCATTATTACTAAAATCGTTCACAAGTATTATTATTATTAGTCTCGCTGCTAGGCATACCTGCTTGTATAGCAGAAAGTAACAATTGTTTCGGGAATGCCCTTGTCCGGTTTGTGTGTTTCATAGGTTTTCTATAGAAAGGTTCTCTAGTAGACCATGGCTCAGGTAAAGTGGCTTTCCTAGAACTTATTTTGAGGGGGGATGTTTGCAATTAGAAGCCAAATGATATGACATCAAAGGCCAGGGACTGCAAGTCGATAAAAGAACGCACAAAAAAATATAACATCTGTTATTTCTTGTCGTTGCTGCCAGTTGTAGCGCATTCATAGCATATCTCTGAGCCACCTTTGATATAGTTATTAGCAGGAACCAAGTTTACACCGTAAACGGCAGTGAAAGCTGCTTAGTCTGCATCGAGCAGCCAATTCCGCACTCTTGTTGTCATGTCAACCACTGTAGCCACCTATCGCCACATGCTTCGAATGTTGGTAGTCGACCATTCGGGCGGTTTCGAATCGTTTCCCGGCCATGAATGCATGGAGAGGCAAGTAGATAGCGATGTTGACGGGACCCGGGCTCGATTGATGGAGTATCATCAAAGTGAAATGGAGATAAGTCATGTAAACTCGGCGATCGTTTGGGAAAGCGTTTCAAGTCCTAAAGATGAGCATATTGAACGCAAGGCCATTCCAGGCCAAGCGCACAGCGAGGAAATTAGCACATTGATATCCAAAAATTTCGACTGCCGTATATTTTTTATTTTCTTTTTTTGATTGGAGGTATGGGATTTTTGATTTGCTTAGTGTAGGATGGTGCCATGGTTGTAAATCACTATTCGTACCAGTCAACGTCGCTCAGTTGTAATTTACGAGCACGGAATCCACTCCGGGCCGATTTATCATTTCTTGAATCGCGGTGCGATGACGTTCGCTTGTCGGAACCTTTGAGTGAGCCTTTAGCATTGGTGTTCGTTCGTAGAATAAAGTGATGGGTTGGGGAACTGTTGCTATCACCATCATTGCTATCATTGTCGTCACCAAGATCGTAATTTAGAACCAGATTTTTTATTCGTTGTTGCTCCTCGCGCTCTGCTTGTTGCTGGGTCTTCATTGCAACAGCAAAACTGGAGTCCGAAGGGAGGTCGATAGTGCGTGTCTTAACACTCAAAGTTAGCAACATAACTTGGGGAACGTTCATGTAGAATTTCAGCATACCTGCTGGCGGTTTCCACGCTTGGTCATAAGGGAGAATGGCATCGTGCTGGAAGGTGTCGGGGATGGTTCTTTCGTCTCTTCAACTTGGGCAGGTTCGCGGAGGTTTGCACGTCTCATGGGTAGGGGGACGTCGAACATAGTTTTGCGCTCGAATTTTCGGGATTCTACACTTTCAGATACCATCTTCTCGAAGGCTCTGTCAAATTCAGCTTCAGCTTCAGGATCACGCTCTTCCTCTTGACGGGATACAAAGATCTGCTCTTCTTCTGACTCGGATTCGTTCTCATCATCTGGCTCGTTAGCGGTAACCTATAAAGCAGGGGTTAGCTTGACGGTAATGAACCAAGGTTCGAGAAGGGCATACCTCTGCCTCATCGGTAGAGACCTCTTCGATATCAGGAGCTCCATCATCTTCAATATCTTCATCAGACGATGAGCTCTCTGCCTCATCTTCTGGTTCTGGGGCTTTGTCAGTCTCTTGCACTTGGTAGTTCTGTGCAACCGCCTCCGCAAACAGTTTAGTAGCTTCTGTAAAGTCGGCAGCAAACTTCCACTGTGGTCGAGTCAAGGCAAATGTGTCTTGAATGACAAAATCAACATCCATAGGTATAGGATCCTTGGTATGTAGATAGTACTAGAATTCCACTAATTAGTGTGGCATCTCACCATTTGGCCGGCCGAGCTCTTGGGTATGTACCTGGAAAAATGTTAAGAAAAAGTCAAGTTTCTTCTTCGCACTTCCTCGGTCGAAACAAACACCGCAGGTATCTAGTATGGTGCACACCAGACGAATCCGGAAATAATCATCCGGCATATCAAGCGGGTTTATTTTTCCCGGAGACGGTGTTCCTCCCTCTGATTCCACGCATCAGCAAAGTATAAAGGGCACTTATAATCTAGTAGGGCCTTGACCAGCTTACCATGTCCATAAGTAACAATACGGTAGAGGGTATCGAAGATCACTGGCGAGTCAACCATCTTGTAATTATAGAGTTCTCCCAAATACTTGACCTCCGAAATTCGTGACTGGTTGAATTTGAAATCGTTGTTCTCTAGACCGATGGTGATTCTCTCGAGAACATTGTCGATAACACCAATCACAAAGGACTGGTGGTAGCGATATAGTGCGCTGATGATGATTGCAAGGAGATGAATATTTCCGTACTTGATTTTTCCTGGTTTGCTGAATATACGCTCGAGGATGTTGACAACCTGAGACCAAGTTAGTATCCTTGAAGAAATAGAATGATGGATAAAGGTAGCAACTTGCCTCGGGTTCCTCCCAGTGTAACTTGCGAATAGCCTTTAAAATCTTAGTGTAGTTCCGCTTGTTCATATCTAGATATATCAGCTTTCGAATATACAGTTCCATTGGCGTACGCTCCTTTTGCTGAATGGCTGGTCTCGGTGGAGGGTCGACGTAGTACATGGCATTTTCAATGATCATTCGTTCCTGTTGTCCAAGGTGCTGGGCAGATTTCTTTCGTCCAAGTGTTTCTAAGAACGATGCCATTCGGGGAGCTGTCTCGGGGTTTCTGAGGAGATACCGGCCGCAGTTTTCCAACAAATTTCCGATGATCTCGATGTTCATACGAGAAAATTCGTCTAGGCTGACTTTGAAGCAATGGAATATAACGTGTTCGGGAACAACGCCGAATTTAGTGAGCTCAGCCAGGTATCTGATATTGCTTGTACGAACTTGACCCAGAAATTCTTTTTGCTTGCGGCGTTGAAGGCTGCGGAATTCGTCATCCAGATACGTGATTAGGCCCTGAGGCACATCAGGAAGATACTGGCCTAGAGTAGCAACAAGGCGAGCGTAGAGGGGTAAGAGATCGGAACGGCCCTTCGGCACTTCTTGAACAGCTTTGATAAGTCGGTTTCGAGAGGCCTTCGAGTTCAAGAAACAAAAATCCAGAGCTAATTGATCAACAGCTTCCTTGTTGGCCAACTCAGGAAGTTTAGAAAGTAGTGCATCGACTTGAGCTCCAACGGACTTGTTGGCAATAGTGGTAGCGGACTCTTCTGTTTCCCGCACACCGGAATCAGCTGCTTGTGAATCTGGCTTGCTGGTGCCTTCAAGGGCTGCAGTTCCATTTTGTCCTTCCGGATCAGCCTTCACTTTAGACTGGTCGTCTCCGTCGCCTTTCTTCTTTTTTCCATCTTCCAGGAGCACGGCGGGGACCTTTCCCTTGAAATCCGCTAGATTCTCGTAGAAGCGCCTCTCTTCCTCGTCTTCCCAAATACCAGCCCCTTCACCTTGACCACGCAGGTATTCGCCAGTCTTTACAAGGCCTATGCTGCCACTCATTGAGCCATCAGACGCATCTTTTTCAGCCAAGTCAGGCATTTCGACGCCCAAAATCTCGCATAGCGATTGGGTATTGGACACCAACTTCTCGTGTGCCTTTGTTTGTTTCTCGAAATTAGATTGTCGATCCTCGAGGATCTCGCCGCTTTTCACGTATGCCTCTGCATTTCGGCGACTCTGGTTTGCAAGAGCCTTTTGATCCCGACTAACATGCTTTTTCACATCTTCAAGGTATCTGTTTAACACATTTTTAAACCGCGTTTGGAGTTTCTCAGAGACTAGAGGGTCATCGAGTTGAGCTGTGTTTGTACCGGCTTCATCCCCGGACGTACCACCCTGTGCTTCCTTGGAGGTATCTGTAGTGGTTCCATTCGTCTCTACCGTCTTTCTTCCCTCCTCGAGTGTCTTAATTCCCAATATATCCCAGCTATACGTTCTAGCGAATAGTAGAGCCAAGGGCAAATTGACGTGTTCTCGATCATAGCCAAGCAAGTCTTTTAACACTTCAAGGGGAAACGGTTCTTCATCCCTGTCCTGGTTCGGTTTCGCAGACTGGCGAGGCTTAGAGCTTCCATCAGCACTCTTCCCACCCAAAGTTGGCACTGAGTCCTTGCACTTTGGCATAGAGTCATCTGGTCTCTCCACATCGTCTAAACTCCGAAGCAGCCCAACAAGCCAAAATTCTGTTACCACACGGAGGAGGACCCTGTGCCGGGATAGGCGTTCCTTTTCTTCCCTTTCACGGACCTCTGGCGTCCAGGCTTTGAGCTGTGCTTTATCTGGTGAGGTAAGACCGCGGCCCAAGTTCCAGGCCAGTCGTTTGGTAAACTCATCCGGGCCAAAACGCTGGTGGATTGCGCTGGCAATTTCCACACCAGCGGCGATTTCTCCTGGCGTCTTGAGCTTGCAGAGACCCTCATAAAAAGCCGATATGATTTCTGAGAGGTATTTATGGAGCGAAAGCGAGCGAACATCGGTTATAAAAGTAGGAAGGCCTGCAGCAGTGATTCCTGTGCGAAGTCGTTTGATAAAGGCCGTATTCTTCTTCAGCGAAGAATCTAGAGATTTGCTAACTTCAAAGACATCTGTAATAGCCCAGCATCGAATTTCAAGTTAGCACCTATCGTTGGTATAAGAGTGGCCCTCCAAACTTAGAATATGACGATATGACGATACCTGTCTCTCCCGCCCAAACGAGCGCGTTTAGATCTCGGAGCTCTCCTGTCACGATACGTTAGCTATGATCTCGTAATAATGCCTGCCAGATACGGCGAAACGCCGTCAAGATTCAGCGTACTCTTTCTTGCGCGCTCCATGGTCTCCGCCCACAGATGCTTAGATCCGGCCCTGATAATGGTACGACGAGGTTCCCCGGCTCTTCAAAGATACGTGGAAGGAAACGAAACGCGAGAGTTATGTGCCACATTAGGCAAAAAGGTCGGAGCGAACAGCAAGCTGAGAGAGAAGAGATAGGCAATTCCAGAGTCCAGAGAGTGAGTAAGTGGAATGGAACCTGTCGGTGGTCCAGAATAACTAATAGTTAGTTACTTTGGCGGCAACACTTTTTGGGTGAGGTCACCAACTGGACACACAAATTAGTTACGATATCCAGCACTTTTTCCACAGGCTGACAACCCACACATAACTATATTAATTTATACAGCCCTACCAGAGGGTGAATACGCATTAGTTCTACCACTGTCGAGATTGAAAATATTAACCAAATTCCTCATTGTTAAGTATTTTTCGCTTCTATTTCTGCTACAGTGACTTTATTAGTCATCATATACGTATCTTAGTCAGCGAATTAAGCTTAGTCAGTTATCATCTTAGTCAGCTTTTATCTTAGTCAGCTACCGCATGCGATGACGTTGATCGAAAAACAACAACAATCAATCTGTTGAGATTGTGAAGTGATAGATGGTCGTGGTAACTACTGGTCTAGCTTCGCGGTGGAAAGCCAACCAGCTTTTCTATGGACTTCCAAATCCTCAAGATGACACTTTGGTCTCTGTTGCGATACCTGCTAAAAGACTACCTAGTTATATTAAAGGAGAGACACGACGACCTACCCGATACCATAAATACGCCCAGGATGTTTGTTCTCTGCGAGTAAGTTTTAGTAGCTTGCTATAGGGAGGTGGAGGTGGAGGCTCTGATAGCATGGAAGACGTGTTGTTAGACGTATTATTGTTTATAGATGTTGGAATATAATGCGAAGTGGAATCAACCACTGGCTGCTTTAACAGCCCTATGAAGAGCACTAAAGCGGCCATGCTACCCCCTCAGGCCCAAAAGGGCGAAAAGCAACGACATCGAAGTTTTGTTTATCTTCATCATTAAATCATCATGCCAGGATCATTATCGGCAGCAGTAGGAATACATGATGCATAAGCTGCCAAAATTTCAACGGTTAACTAGTTGCGTCAGCGATTCATGTGCCAAGTTATATCCTCCAGTCCAGCCTTGTGCTAGGACAGTATTACCCCATACTGTCTGGAATATATTTATTCTAGGTGCTATAACTACATGCAGCGATCCTCCACCACGGTGCGCCCTCCACGTCTTTTGCTCTTACACTTGAGTCTGATCTGCTTCACTATAATCGGGCTGTCACCGTGAGCAGTACCGAAAGGTATGGATGTATTACTGATCCAGACGACCCAGATGTGAAGTAACCAAAAATATTGCTTCATGGGAGGCCTATGCTAAGTTGATGATAAAATATAGGCGAAATCTCGGCTTTCCTGCCTGGTTTCTAGGAACAGTTAATTCCAATTCCTATGAGTTTATCCTGGTGGTGGCCAGATACATTTCTCCCCCAAGCAGTCGCTATGCAACAAAATATTAAAAATCTTCTTATAGCAAAGCTAAGACGCGTGTTTCGACAAAGTGCTCTAACCAGCTATTGGTGTAGAATAGTCAAGCTCGACGACTTGACGCTGTACTCTGCATGTCATGATATCACCTCGTGGCCGTGCACAAATGGTGACGCCCAAAGTCTCCATAACTAAGTTACTTTACTTCTATGCATTGACAGCAAACACTAATCCGGTTTCCGCTGGCTTGAAAAATCTGCATGTACGTACCTTTTCGGAGCAGAAGAATGAAGGTCGGAACAGTTAAGGTTGCCGTTTTATCCCCCCCTGAGCATAACAATTAGCTATATAGTCGTAGTCGGCGGCGTGTCCCAAAAGGCCCTGGCGATAGCGAGATCTGCCGCCAATAATATCTTCATTGGGAGCATGCTTCAATTTTTGAAGGGTGGTGCAGCCGGCGTTGTTCGTAGCGAGACAAGCAGAAGTCAAGCAAATTCCCTGCAAGTACTTGTACCAGTACCTGGGCCCTGCAATCAATGGGTGCTGGAACAGGTTATTCCCGCAGATTCCTGTGCTACTGCGAGCCCGAATATGATCTCATAATTGGGGAAAAGCGAAAAGCTCTAGACTTTTCGTCCGACATGCCACAGCTATATAAGAGCTCGGGCTCACTTGTCGACCTCCTGATGTCGTGTGCTCATTAAATCTGAATTCCAGAGCATTGAATCAAGCCCACAATCATCGACTCGCTAGACATCACCCCAACCATGATCACCGAAGAGCAAGCGAACCAACTCTACCACGAGCCCAAGATAGGCAGCTTTGAAGCTCCAAATGTCCACGACCATAACACCGGCCAAACCTCGTCAGCTGTCTCATCCACCGAATCAAGTCCACAGCTCCGTCAAGGCGAGTGGAAGCCACAGCATAAATCTCGCCAGTATAGCTTCGATGCACAGGAGCAAAAACACAAGCTCCAGAGCAGATTGACCGGTCTAGTGAAGGGGAAAGAAACGGGCTTCACAGAACGAGAGGGCCATTGAATATATACCTTGTGGCTTTTGTGAGAAAGGAACAAGGCGGGGCCTTTCCGTTGCATCATCTCCGATCGACTTCCACATTGATTTTCAGCGTTTGATCACAACTATCGCTTTCTATCGTTTTTTGAGAGGAAAAGGGCCCTTCAAAAATGCAATTAGGCAGGAATAACTTATCCAAAATTCGTTGAATTAGATACGAAATTTTTACTTGGTAGAATTAAATCGAAGTAAACCAAACGTAATTTTACATGTCAAATGAAGAAAGGCCATAAATCACAAAATAAATAGGTATCTGAAAAAGTAATCAAGAAAGATGAAGATATCTAAGTAACCCAGGGAAAAAATCCGGTGACCGTCGGGATACGCCATAGATAACTGCGGCTGCAATAGCAGCAGTAGATAGAGACTTGAGTCCAATGAGCGACTCCTCTCGGACACGACCAAGGCGGGTGTAGGTCCTGCCTTTGACAGAGTCGTCTCCCTTCATATCAAAGTCGGTCCAGTCGATTCTTGACAAGAGCTTCTGATAGTCCAGTACGTTACCGGACCAGTTGTTAGTAATCAAGCCTTCTTCGTTCTTATACCAGCTGGTACAGTTTGGATGGGCAAAGGATGATTTGGCCAGTTCCTTTTGCAGGGATTCGTTGAATGCATTAATGCGGTCAACCTTGGGTGTGATGGTGAGAGTACGGCCACGTTGCTTGGACCGAAGAACGGTGGTCAACATACTCAAGATATATCGTGTCTGTGCCTCGACCATAAGAATAATTGAGCTGTGGCCTAGATTGGTGTTGGGCCCGTACAGCATGGCAAAGTTCGGTAGGGACTCGATGGTGATACCGTACAAGCCGCGAGCACCGTTTTTCCAAATATCAGAGATTGATCTCCCGTTCTCACCATACACCTTTATAGGGTGCATGAATTCAACTGTACGGAAACCAGTGGCGAGTATTATCAGGTCGAACTGTTGTTCGGCGCCATCGACCACAATCCCATATTCAGATATTCGATCAATATGGCCGGTTTCAAGGCTGACGTTATCCCGCGCTAGAGCAGGGAAGTAGTCATCACTGGTGATGATACGTTTGCAGCCAGGGGGGTAGTTTGGAGTCAGTTTCTCCCAAAGCTCCGGCTTGTTTGCTAGCTGTCGCTTCATCATGGCCACGCTGATTTTCTTCAGGTAACCAGATACCTGAGATTCAGGCTTGAGGATGGAAGCAAACAGGCTTTCACGAACATCCATTATAAGGGCACGGAACTTAGATAGGACACCAGGTATGTATCTAAACATGAATCTTATGGGCAGAGTCATGCATATATCGTGGCGAGGCGCAACCCAGTTCGGGGTGCGCTGGAAGACAGTCAGGTGTGATACTTCTGGCGCAATTTCCGGTATGATTTGGGCAGCCGTAGCGCCTATAATAATACATAGTAAACTAAGCCAATGCCAGGGGTAACTACCAGAATAATGAAAGACTCACCATTTCCAATGATGCCCACCTTCTTGCCCTTGATGTTGTAACTCCAGTCCCATCGGGCTGAGTGCATGAGCTTGCCCTTGAAGTCATCGATGCCAGGGATTGAAGGATAATGCGGGTAGTTTAGCTGACCAACGGCGGAGAGGAGGAAATCTGACGAGATGGTATATCGTTCCCCGAATTCAGAGTCTTTAGCGCCTTCAACGTGTACTGTGGTCTTCCACTTCTTCTCGTCTTCGTTCCAACGGCACTCTTCTACCATAGAGCTGAAGCGTATATATCTGTGTAGGCCGTACTTGTCTCCGACATCATTCAGGTAGTTCTGTCACGCATATCCGATTAACAATTGATGTATAGATGCTTAAGTGGAACAGTGGACCGTACCAATATCTCTTCCTGCGAGGGATATAACCTGGTCCAGTCGGGGTTCTGCGCAAACGAGAAACTGTAGAGATGCGAGAAGACTAGAAAACAATCAGCATAAAACGAACAACCTGGCAAGAGGCAGAGAGCCATACCGTCACAGCAGCATCCAGGATACTTATTGTCCTTCCACGTTCCGCCCAGTCCAGCGCTTTTCTCCAGTATAACGAAATTGCGGATGTTGTTCTTGAGCAAGCTGATGGCCATGCACATCCCTGAAAGACACGTTAGCGAATCCCCTATGGCCGAAGCAGCACCAGAGAAGGCCTCTTACCAGAGATTCCGCCGCCAATGATCACTATCCCGGCGTCTGTGAAGCCCCTGTTGCCCGTGGGCGCCTGCCATACTGCTTTTGAAGCCATCTCGATGCTGATCCTGTGCTATAACTATTCTGCGGCCAACAACCTCATCTAACAAGCCCACCGTCACCCCATATATATAGCAATCATCGCTGCTCGGCCGACATTTCGGATGCTCTTAGTTCTTCGTCCCCATCGCATCCCCAGAAATCCAGATCGCAAGTTGTGGACCGACTCCATGTGCAAGCCGAGGTTGCGCATCCCGCTGAAGATCGGCGCAACTTTCTGTCCGCGCCCATCGCGAGCTCGACATCTCGATCGCCCGTCTTCGCCGTGGCGTCACTCTGGCATGTCATCGCAGCAGTGAAAGAAACCGATAAAAGGAGCTGTCGTGTGGCTGAACCGCCCCCTTGCGGCTGTAGCTGTCGTCGCTGTCGTTAAGCCGTTAGCTGTTAATAACCAGGGGTGGAGGCGCTTAACTAGCCAGGGGCTGGGGCTGAGGTGGGATGCGAGGGAGAGCAGCACTGCTTATATAGATCCAGATGGCTCCTTGAGAGAGGCCTCTACCAGTATACAAACACAGTGGAAGACCAGGAGCCGAAGGAGATATCGCCGTCAGTCGCATCCAAATACCGAGCACTGCTTGATCACCGCCGCAATGGCTACGTACACCGTCCAGCAGGGCGACTACATGTGGAAGATCGCCAACGACCACGGCATCGCCCTCGACGCCCTCATCGCAGCCAACCCGCAGGTCGCAGATCCCGCCGTCATCCAGGTCGGCCAGGTCCTTAACCTGCCTGGCGCTGCGGGCGGAACTCCTGCTGCTGCTGGTGATGCTGCTGCTGCTGCCGCTTCCGCCCCTCCACCGCCCGCTGCATCCGCTGAGCCCGCCGAGGCATCGCGGGGGGTGGTCAACGTTGCCTCCGCCGTGCCACCTTTCCAGGGAGGAAGACAAGGGCTGAGGACCGTGGGATACTTCACAAACTGGGTGAGTCTGTTCTCTGTGTCTGTCTTCTCGTTTGCTTGGTTGATATGTGCTCTAACGCTTCTGTGCTGTGTAGGGCATCTACGGACGCAACTATCAGCCTGCGGATATCCCAGCAAGCCACCTCACCCACATTCTCTGTACGTATTAGCTGGTATCTCTTCAGTAGAACCTGCTAATAGATCTCTTAAGACTCCTTTGCGAATGTGCGTCCAGAGACAGGCGAAGTGTGAGTGATACTCTGCCGAGTGTTCATCATAGATTACACTGCTCATACGTGGCTATAGCTATCTCTCAGACACCTACTCAGACCTCGAGAAACACTACCCCGAAGATTCCTGGAATGATACCGGAAACAACGTCTACGGATGTATCAAGCAGCTCTTCCTCCTCAAGAAACAAAATCGTCATTTCCACACTCTCCTCTCCATCGGCGGCTGGACGTATTCCTCCAACTTCGCTGCTCCAGCATCCACACCTCAGGGCCGTGAGACTTTTGCCCGCTCTGCTGTTAAACTGGTAGCCAACCTGGGCTTCGACGGCATAGACATTGACTGGGAGTATCCCAAGGATGACACTGAGGCGTATAACTTCGTTCTCCTCCTCGAAGCCGTGAGATACGAACTAGACAAGTTCTCCGCTGAAGTTGTCCAGCGTCCAGACGGCGGTAGGCTGCTGTTGACCGTTGCTGCACCGTGCGGAGCATCCAACTATGCAGTGCTCCGCATGGCGGATATGGATCGATACCTTGACTTCTGGAACATGATGTGCTACGATTTCGCAGGTGCCTGGGACAGCAACGCAGGACACCAGGCAAACCTTTACCCGTCCGTAGATAACCCTGCCTCCACGACATTCTCCATTGATGCTGCTCTCCGTGCATACATGGCCGGAGGCGTTCACCCGTCAAAGATCATTTGTGGCCTACCTCTGTACGGCCGGGCGTTTGAACAGACAGATGGGCCCGGGAAACCGTTCCAGGGCGTTGGTGAAGGATCCTGGGAGAATGGTATATGGGATTATCATGCTCTCCCCAAAGACGGGGCTGAGGAATACAATGACGAGAACCTAGGTGCTAGTTGGAGTTATTCTGGTAGTGATAGAAAGATGATAAGTTACGATACGCCGCTGATCACCAGAAAGAAGGTGGACTATATCAGAGGCGTTGGGCTAGGTGGAGCAATGTGGTGGGAACTAAGTGGTGACCATCCCGTTGACCATGAACGGAGTTTGATTAAGACGGTAGTGGAGGGATTCGGAGGCACTGGTGCGTTGGAGATGCGAGAGAATAACTTGAACTACCCAACGAGTGAGTACGACAACTTGAGAAGCGGTTTCCCATGAGCATGGGCGCAAAAACGATACAAGGGGGTTAGGTTCCCATAGGTAAATAGATATGCATAATGAACTGGATTGAATAACCTAACACAAAAAGCCTAACAGCTCCGAGATACACAAATAAGCATATAGGAGTGGGTTAAAATGTAGGTATTGGTAATCGCATATTTTGCACAGGGCCTTGACACTTACATTTGGCGGTGTTGGTAGGAGGGGGACGAGGGAGGGGACATGTAGGAAGATAAGTTCATTAACAATGTTGTTTTTTGTTTTTTGTTTTTTTGTTTTTTAAACAGGGTTATGTTTCTGCATGGCAGAGAAAAAAGGGGGGAGAAAACATCAACTTCAAGGGTGGATCTGGGTATGTATTCATTGGCATCAAAAGGGCTAGGTGAGAATGGTGGCAAGTGCCGGCGGGAATGTCTAATATATCTAGGGGGTGTTTTGGGGGCATCCAGGATAAAAAAAAAAAAGAAAAAGAAACCAGACAAAGGAAATTCGAAAATCAATTAAACATAATACAATCGGGAAGGCATATGAAGGGGGAAGAGTATCAGGACGTTATTGCTCATACGTCATCTTCCACGCATAGAGCAGAGTAAAGAATCCTCCACACTGCTATGCTGATGCAACCCGTAGGTGCAAATGGGTGATATTTTTGAAGTTTTTAGTTGGCGTTGTTGAAGAGAGGATAACTGGAGGTAATTGCTGTAACAGTAAAAACTCATCCTTGGGTTGAAATCCAGTGTAGACACTTTTTATGGGGTCTTGGGCCGTTTCCAGAAGTATTGCTAGACAAAGTTAGAAATATGTTGATTAAAGAATGTGGCATTGAGTGTACTACCTTGTGCTGTTTCCGACAGTTCCGTAGTCCTGGTTTTCGTAGTTCGTTGACAACAGCTTGCTTTCTCATCTCGTCTGTATCGAGATCAGGGGTATAGTAATACTCGCATTCCAATTGTTTTCCCGCAGCATCTTTGCCTTTGCGGTTAACAGTCCCAATGCATCTGGTATCCTCAATGATGGATCTGATATAAGCATTGGAGACCTTGGGCTTCTTCGACGAGCCAGTACCTACAAGGTCAGAAGGAAGATTACTGACTATAGTTGAGAATGGTGTTGAAGAGAGTCGGGAGAAGGCTAGCTGGTTTATAATGTGATTTTGAATTGCAGAGCGGGATGCGTCCGTCGACTCCTTTGTAGATGATGATTCCCGAGCTGAAGCGCTGCGTTTGAGCGGTTTCTGGTGGGGAGAAGCTGTGGGGGTATCTCTGGCATTGACAGCTGCCATACGTGGAAGGATATTCTCTCCATAGGGGCCGAAAGAAAAAACGATCGGATCATTCTCTTCATCATGTTCGGATAGCTCGTCAGATTTTGCTAGACTACTAGAAATTGAATTTCTAGCATTGGCATCACTCGAAATGGAGGCACGCTCAGTGCTTTGGGAGGTAGACTTGGGCTCGGTAGTGGATTTTTTAGGTCGTACGGGAGAGGGTTCGTCCTCATAGACAACAACAGCATTGGGTACAGAACGGCTGGATGTCAAGGGATCGGCAGAACCGAGTGCTTGAACGGCAGGAGAGGGAGAGACAGGAGACAGTAGTCTTTCCCGGGACTTGAGAGGGCTTTCCGAATAACCGTGACGAGAACGGGAGTCTGCGTTTCGAATAGGAGACGATTCGTCCCATGTATGTTCTGAATTTGAATCCTTTCGTTCGGGACGCGGCCATTGAACGAGGACACGCGAGTCCTGAACATCAATCATCACGTCTGCATCCCTGATGTCAGAAGTAAACGTCTTTCCTTTGGCCAATTCATAAGTTTTCCCCTGACAGTGCAGTTTGATGCCGTTCCAGCCCATGCATAGAATCTCGATCTTATCCCTATCAAATGGGTGGCTTGCTGGCTTGAAGTAGGCCTTGACATGGACTCTCGAGATGAGACGGTTAGGGGAGAGTTGATATGAGCAGGAAGCACTCGATCTCCCCATAGTAATGGGCTCGCCATCCTCCTCGAGCATTACACATGGGACGTCTGACAGAGGGGCGCGCTCCGAGGTGACCGACTGAGTACGTTGAAGAGCAGGAGGGATACGCGAGGGAGACGAGCTTAGAATTGCAGTTGACGAGGTTGGGACGGGGGTTGGGTACGTCGAGAACGAGTCCTCGCCCTTGAGAACCCTCCGCTTTGCTGGTCGAGGGAGTGGCGGAGACGAACATGGCTCAAACGGCGGCAACAACGCAGCACGCTTCACACCCGCAGCAGACTGCCCCTGGGGAACCTTTCTCGGAGGAGACGAGTCCATGCTGACAGGAAGAACGGGGACAACGCCCACCAGCGGCAAAACTGGCTCTGAATACCCTTCACTGGCGTGAATCGTTCATAAGAATTTTAGACACTCTCTCTTGTTCATGGGGTGGAGACAAAAAGACGATATCAAGTATTTTGTTTATTACATAAATACTAGACACGGCGGCAGCGAGAGAAGCGAGATGGAGAGAGAGGGCAGAGCAGAGAAATTATTTGAAATTCTGCGGTGGCCGGTGGTCAGAACAGAGCCGCCTCGAGGTCGCGAGACCAGAAAAGGAGTAAAAAGAATTGTGTGGGAAAAGATCACGGTCAGGGTCCCCGGAGGATGCCTGTCATTAAACGTATACACGGTGGAGGCGACGCGTTTGGTGGCTGGACGGACGAACCGTGACGGTAATACCGCGCGAAAGACGAAGTGAAACACCACCTCGACGTCAGGCTGCAGAACAGCGCCCTCCAACAACGCAACCCACGCAGCAATGCCCGTCAGCGAGATATCTCCAGGCGGTGTTCTGCTCGCACTTTGAGCGGCCTTGAAACTTCGACGTTGAAGTCGAGACGCGCTTAAACCGTAAAGAAAGGCACGTGAATTGCTTATGTAAACAGTTCACGGCTTATGTAAGTGACACGAACCATGCAACTTTCACGTGATCATGATCTTATCTTATCTCGAAATCCGCGATGAGCCAAGAACTTGCCCCACTTGCCTGTTTCTTATTTCAACCTCACGCAAGGGAAACGAATAACACAACAATCCGGCCCTCTACCATGCGATGCAGAGCTCTCAAAGATTGCTAGTTGCATAAGAAGAACACGCATCTGAACGGCATCGAACCGTGCACTGGCTGAGTTTGTTGATGTCAATCGGAGCCTTGGTCAGTGAGTCTTTTGAGTTTGTACTACTGCAGCCCGTTTTGAAATCCAACAGGAATACAAGGCTGGGTCGAATCAGCCCAGGTCTATATCCCTGGCCTCAGTGACATGGCGTTCCAGAGATATAAATAACTTGGGAACATAGGGCGTATTTCTATATGAACTCGACAGGAGAGATTAAAACAGAAAACAGGAAAGGTGGGTGTTCGCCACTATTCGATATTTGACCTAGTTAAGTGACATTACTTTGGTTTGGTAGTTTGGACCGCGTTAGTCACTAATCTTAGCTATCTAACGGGTCTTTTGACGCTGGACTACTCCCTCAAGAAGTCGGGGTCAAAGTACCCCCTCGTAGCCTTGTTTACGGATAGCCTACCTTTTGAAGGCCTCAATATTCTAAAGGCTAGGGGTATACCTACGCGACATATATCCTTCCTTCAGCCCACGGTACATAAAGACTATGGCAATGATGTTCGTTTTTACAACTGCTGGAGCAAGTTGGCGTCTTTCTCACTTGTTGAGTACGATCGCGTTGTGCAATTGGATAGCGACATGCTAGTACTCCAAAATATGGACGAATTAATGGAACTTGAACTAGATGATGCTGCCTTAAAAGGCCGGGGCCAAAGAGTGTTTGCTGCATGTCATGCTTGCACCTGTAACCCGTTAAATATACCACATTATCCGAGTGACTGGTACGTTGATGGCCCTTTGGACTGGCTATTTGCTTATCTCATTCCACCAGGCTCCCGAAGAACTGTGCTTATAGCAGCCAGCATAATAACCCCGATCAAGCACAAGTCCAAGGCCCTCTCACAGGGAGAAGGGGATCAATGCTAAACGGAGGTCTTCTGGTACTTAATCCCTCGGAGGAGATATATAATGCCATCCTCTGTCAGCTTGAGGACCCTACGGCAACCATGCGATACGCTTTTTG